CGATTGCTGCAAGAAGTTGTTATCTTATTCAAAGTTAATGCACATAGACAGATGTGTAGAGTTAGAGTTATATCATATATAATGGTCAGGGTTCACAAAGAGACCTCAAGAATCGGGAAAGCACCACGGTGGCCCCATGCGCCGCTCATTCTCGTAAAGATGCGATCCTCTCACTTTGATTGCAGAGCCTCGTTTCCCTCCTTCTTCCTCTGTTGAACAGCACTTTTTATTCCCACAGTTTTACTCTCTCTCCAGAATCCATTTCGCTGGGTCCTGGACCTATGGGAATTCCTCCGGGTGCTTGGCGGCTTAAAATTTAATGAGAGTTTTACTTCACAGATCAACCAGCACTCTCTCTCTCTCTCTCCTTCTCTCTCTCTATCACGTTCTCCCACAAGCCTATATCTTGCTGGACCAACAAGCCCTCGGCCCTGATATTCACTGGATGTCTCCGAGCTAAAGCAAACAAACAGTCAAGAAAGGATTGGACAAATACCAAAGATTTTGAAAGTTCATAGCTTCAAACATGGCCACTTCGAACTAAAAGAATATTGAAATTCGTCTTTTATTTGCATTGCCCAAGAACTAAGAAGTAAATATTTTGTTCTCCTTCTTAATAGCTTAATGTGATGTGCTGAACATCTTGGTTTTCAAAAAATACTCTGAGCGCTGCAGATAATCGCATTCGAGGTTAATATTAAAATGACATCTTAGGCCTACTGTTTACATACAATTTAATACCAGTAGTTCAAAATGTCAAAGGCATAGTTCACTCAAAAATGTATATTTACTCTTTTATACTGTACACTGTAAAAAATATTTTCAAGATTTGTTATCACAACATATTTTCTTTTGTCAAATCAACTTTATAATAATTTGTTTAGTTCAGATAACTTATTATTTTGAGTTTCTGATGGTTACATTAATCTACTTCATTGTATTAACTCACTTTTTCTAGTTCAATCAACTTAAAATTTTAAGGCAACCCTGGTTACTTACTTTTTTAAGTTAAACCAACAATATTTTTTTACAGTGTAGTAATCACAACATTTTTTTCTTTTGTCAAATCAACTTAAATAATTTATTTAGTTCAGATAACATATAATTTTGAGTTTCTGATGGTTAAATTAATCATTAATCAAATTAATCAGGCAACCAGGTTACTTACTTTTTTTAAGTTAAACCATCAATAATTTTTTACAGTGTACCATTTAAAAGTTGTTTTTTTGTTGTTCCAGATAAGTTGTGAAAAAGTTTTTTTTTTTTTTTTTTTTAATACAATGAATTTGGATGGTGAACAAGGCTGTCGAGCTCTAAAAAGCACAAATAAACTCCAAAAAAGCATAATAAATTTATATTTTCCAAGTTTTCTGAAGTAAAACGATGTTTAAAACTGAGTGACATTTTTGTTGTTCACAGAAAATTCCATTCACTTTTACTGTATGGAAAAGAGCAGCTTCGGCATTCTGCAAAATATCTTCTATTGTGTTCCACAGAAGAAAGAAACGACATGACATTGAATAAATGATGACAGAATTGTAATTTTTGTCTGTATTACCCTTTTAATCAGGGGGAAAAGGATGCTGCAGATCCCAACATTGTCCACCGTCAAACTTTTTAAGCATCTCGCCAGTTTTCTCTAAACTCGCAGATGTCTCATTTTCCCTTGAGGTTTTACCCAGAAATAATTTTAACTGCTTTGGTGATAAAAAAAAAACCTGGATCGAAGATGAGGAGTTTTTTTTTAAGATTGTCTTGCATTTGGCCATGTTGTGGTACAATTTCTGTCCTGCAAAGTTCCATTTTGTTTAGTCGTGCAGAACGCCAAATGAACAGTGACTGAATGCATTGACATTGTCCCTGGTAATGATATCCTAACTAAGCAGTTGAGGAAACAATACAATAAAACAGTTTGGGGAAGGCTAAGGGCATGAGGGTTCAAACAGAGTGAAATCGAAAATCAAATCTGCATTTATCCTCCCCAGCGACCGGCTTTTGCTGCGTTTCTGGCAACCCCTTCAAACGCCCACATGTGTGCTGTATGCCTAGAGCCAGAGTTGTTGAGCTTGGATGTGCAGACTGATTGCTTTGTTCTCAGCCCTCACTAAGTGTTCCGAAAACAATGCAGACCACAACACTGACCACCTACTTTTTCAGCAGTCTTTGTTCTGGTTTTCCAGGGTTTTTTTTTTTCTCATTCACCATAGCCATTTTCAGCATTTGTTTGATAAAGATTTTTTATCTGGATCAGCCTGAACATTGCAGCATTTGATTTAAAGGTGCTGTATGTAAGTTTTTGACTGTACTAAAGCATAAAAATACCATATGTTTGCAGATATTTAGTAAATATATATAGTTCACATCTGAAAAACAATGCTACAGCCAGGTTTTTTTTTTTACTTTGAATTGTGCGATACCGCACATCGCCAATTTACCCAATAGTATTTCGCCGCCACAGGTTGCCAGTTGACGGAAAACACAGTATATTGCATCCATGGAAGCCAGCGAACAAACTGGATCAGAGATCACAGATTCTACCCGACCTAAAAAGCCTCCGCACTTATCTAAAAATATCTATGAATGGGAGCATATTAAAACGTGATATCAACTCATCGTAAATCAATAAATCAACTCGTCAACTTACGTAAGTTTCCGCGCATTCCATTGTCAATTGCACTTTTTTCTGTTGCGTGTCGTCAATCTGGCAACCCGCATGAGCGTCGAGTCTGAGCAGGATGGGGTGGGGGAAACAACTCTCTCTAATATTTAAAATTTTGGATTGCAACGCCCATTTCAACCATTAGCTGTCAAACTCACATACTGAACATTTAAAATAAAAGGTATATCAGTAAACAAAATGACCAGATTGTGACTTTATACTGCACTCAAAATAATGCAAGATAATGAATCAGTCATTTAAAAAAAAAAAACTAAATTTGTACTAAATAAAATTATTGGTTCATGTTCAGTTTCTAAATGCCCTTTGAATCTTATTGGATAATAAATGTTGCCCAAAATTATATGCTTTTTTTTTTTAAATATGGCTATTTAACATTGTGTTTTCCCTGCCCAGATATTGAATTTCGGCCCAATGTTGGGCCGTGATCCACCAGTTTAGGTCTTAAAGCACAGCGTCCTATTCAACTGTACATACATGGCTGGTGGCCTCACCCGATATCCCCCCATATCGTGGCTGCTTATCGACATTTTCACATCAATTTCAGCTAGCCTCTTATCTTGGCTGATGCACAACCTTTCTCTACCGTCAGATCACAGTCATATTTCGGCCTTTTTGCCAAAATCAATTTCGTATTTATTTATTTATTTTTCTTCTGACTATATAGTGCTGGAACAGAGGATGTTGTAGGCTGATAAAGGTCAAGTGTAGCATCGAATCATTGAGAGATTCATAATGAATGTGAGCGCGGCTCTCGCAGCAGGTGTTTCATTACCACGGTACGGGAGAGAATGAGTGAGACGGACTCAGAAACCCACACATCCAAGGTCAGAACATGATCATCGGTGGCCTTGTCAATCTCAAAACACACCCACGTTCCTCGGCTAATCCATTTGATATTTCAGGAGCAATATCATAACCTATCAAGTACGAAAATCTGAAATAGGTTTTGTTATGTAACGGTCAAGCTGCCAAAGCTCATGTCAGTCTACTGATACCACCAACAAATCAATTGCTTGAGATTTGATGTTGAGATTTTGTTTGAAGTTGAGTTGAACTGTTATATTTAAGATGTATCCAGCCACCTTGTGTTTGGTGGAAGAGTTGAAGTGAAAAAGTCATAGTCATGCCTTTTCACATGGGAACTCAATGTTTTTGATCATTCTTAAAGGAGAACTCCGGCACAAAATGAACCTTTGGTCTAAAACATCGGTACCTAGTCAACTGTTCTCTGAGATTTGTTTTCATGATAATCGAATGTAAAGAGTTTTATCTCTAAAAACTGTTTAGCGTATAATACTAGTACTGGGGGCATTTACTGAGTAAAAAGAAATCGCTAGTTTATACCACTAACAAGGCTCAAAATAGCCCAAACACTAACACAGTAACATAAAGAGGGTCCATACGTGCAAAACGAAGCATTGAGAACGTTGTAAGTGTACAGACCGTTTAATGGAATGGATTAATGAATATGTTGCAGCAAGATTTTAATTTTGTTCTTTCATTTTAAAATCCATTCAGGATATTCTTTAATTAAAAACTCAAATTTAGTTTTCCATACAGGCTTGAAATAACATTGAGTTTGAGGTTGAGTAAAAGGCAGTTCACACCAAGAACAATAAGTATATCTATACATTTGTTTTCATGATTCAAGGTTCTGTGAGAATATGGAAGTTCCCACCACAACTAAAACAATAAAAACACTTTCGGAACGTTTTTTTTTTTTTTTTTCCAGCTTATGGATGGTAAAAACATCGACAGCCAATCAGAACCCATCCTGCTTATAAGAGTTCAAGCATTTAAAGCAGAAAAATAAACACAACATTATTGTCCATTGGTGTGGACGATGACATCGTTAACATTCTTGGTGTGAATCTGGGAACTATCCTTTACCACAAGTCCATTAGGTTTCTTTGTTAACATGTTGACCTGCTCTAAAATTCCATTGAATTCTATAGCATGTTACTGTAAAGGTGTGTTCACATTTACCGTTCCTCAGCAAAATTTCACATAAAATCCAATCATTTCAATAAAAATCCAGGATGAGTAAGTTCCCCATGCAGATTTTGGTCATGTGAATACGCCACGCTGACCAACAGAAAGCAGCTTGGTTTGAAAGTACATCACTACACTATTTACAAGCCGCCCCTTGAAATTTTGCTGAAATATCTCTAATGTAACCGCACCTTAATTCAGAATCAAGTATCTATGTACATTATGAGTTGTATTTTGTGTGGTGGTCATGGGTCTCGCTTGCAAAGCGGGAGGTTAAACGCAGCCTGCCCTCTCTCCTCAGACTGGCTCCGATTCTCTCCTCCCTCAGGGCGCGTCGTCCAGCCTGGTGGTCAAGTTTGCCGACACGGACAAGGAGCGCACCATCCGTCGCATGCAGCAGATGGTGGGCCAGTTTGGCATCTTCAACCCTGCCATCGCCCTGCCCTTCAGCACCTACAGCACCTACGCACATGCGGTGAGTACCCCCCTGCCTCTCTGGGGCACTTGGACACCTCCAGGCCCGGCACGTTTTGATGATCTCATAGCTGCCCGACCGTATGCCCTCCCCGTCCCCGCACGCCCACATGTCCCCGGAGTGATTCAGAATATTCCATAGGAAAATCTTCACCTGGCTATTTATAGCACGCATTAGTTCCTTCAGTACGTGGGAGGTTGAAAAGCCGCTGAGAGGTTGAGTCAGAACCTAATATTCATTCATGGGGGACATCAGAGTTCAATTTTAAGTAAGATACTATAAAACTGTTGGGGAGTAACTATCCTTCTCGTTAGTTCCTCCATATGGAGTAGATAGATATACTTCTATTTATGTACTGATAAGCATAGACAAATCTTTACTTGTAAATGCCAGGATTAATTGTTGGCATCGACCCACGGAAGACAGCGGCATGGCAGCAGAAGACGTGTGGGGGCCGGTCCGGGATGCTGAAAAAATACACCCTTATTAGCATTCATGAGATGCGAAGCATCCGCGGGAAATGCAAATGGTCCGAGAGTGGCGTGCGGGAAGGCGGGTGGGGGGTTGCTGTGGTTCCCACAGGTTGGCTGTGACTTTTATCTCCCGTGTCAGAGATGGTGCAGTGTGCTGCGCGGTAGCAATGACACTTTCTCTTCGCCCAAGCCACAACCCACACTTGTCGAATCCGACTGCCTTATGATATCGCATTCAGCTTGAGGCAAAGTTTGTGACTTTTTTGCTTGTTATCATTTCTGTTTTTGACTTGTCTAAAACAAGGACATTATTTTAAATTAGATACATAGAATAAGGCAGTCACTATTTTTCTACATGTGATGAAATATACGCTTTAAAGATGTTATATGCACATCGCCTGAAATGACGACTTTAGTTTTAGTTAAAGAGTAACTAAACCCTAAACCAACTTTTTTTAGTTAGTGATCTGTAAGAATGGATCTTTATTAATACCAGTCATTGATTCGAGTAACTTTTTTGACATTTGTGTTTTATTTCAACATGACATCATGACTTTTGCGTAAACATACACGCCACTTTCAAGTCAGGTGGCGTGTTATCTCTACGCATTTTGAACTATCTGCGTGTATCCGCGTGTATGCGTGTATGCCTACGCCATTAACGGCCGCGTCATTCCGCGTGTCTGAACACGCAGTCAAATCTCCAGTCATAAATGCCATTAACCCCAGTGACAGTTAAGTTTAGGGATGGGGTTGAGGTAAGTCATATCTTTTTTTTTTACCTAGGATGGTAAGGGAACAGTCATAAATGCCATTAACCCCAGTGACGGTTAGGTTTAGGGACGGGGTTGAGGTAAGTCATATATTTATATAACGTTAACTCAACGGCGTTCATAAACACGCTGAAAGTATGTGTATGACACGCCAAAAATGGAAATACGAATTGGCGTGTCATACACACGCTACTTCATGAGATCAGTCTGTTTATTTCTACAATATATGGTGTAAAAACGTCTTAGTGCTGCCCTCTTCAGGTTGAACGGTGGCTACTGCATTCGAATTTTCCAAGTGGATGTTCCGCACTTCGTGACGTACGCAGGTTTCAGCTCACCACGCTCTTGGTACGAGCTACGCCCTTGGCAGTATAAAAACCAGCTTGTTTCGTCAAAACCAGTCAGGAGTTGGAATTGCGAGTATTGAAAACGATCAGGATAACGATTGAAAACTATCTCCGCTGGGGTCTGCCCATTTTTTCAGCATTTTTCAAATATTGCCAGTGGGTGGAGTCTGGCTCTGACCAGGGGTTTAGTTACCCTTTAACAAAAACAACACGACAACTTATGATTTTTGTGTAATGCTGTTTCCACACACCACTAGGTGTCAGTATAAGGCATGGACGACATTGTCAACCTAGCCAGAAAAGAAGACTTTAAATATACTTAGGCTGTGTCCGAAATCACCCCCATACCCTTATATAGGGTACTATTTGAGTGGATGGACATTTGTAGTGGTGACTGAAACCATTCTTTCTTCATAATTGAACTCTGAAACAAATGCTGATAAATGATAACCTACCTCAGATTGTGCAGCTTGTTCAGTAGATGTTAGCTTTAACTTTTATTAGCAATTACTATACAAATTTCGTCTTGCAGATGATAAAACAGTCTAAATATTTAACTTAAAAAAGGCCAGTGCAAATCTGGCTCACAGCCTATTCTAAAGTTTTCATTGGTCACGCCAATCACAGCGCTAATTGCTTAAACAACACTGAATCAAGTATTACCCATAACCTTACCCTTCAACCTTAACTTTAATATAGGGCTGGTGGCGCATATTTTCCGCGACCAGATGCATTCATTATATTTCTAAATAGAATTTTCAAATCGTGGCCAAAATAACACTTTTTTTTATGGCTATTTTGACTTGGCAGTGTGTAGCGGACATGCTAGCATTGTAGCAGCAAGTTAGGAAGTCGCTAACTCCGCTAGCATTTTCCATGTTCTACTGTTCTCTCATTTTCTCACCTGAGCAGAGCCTGAAAGGGTTTCCGACAGGCGTTCGATGCGCCAAACAGCATAAGCTAACGTTTAGCTTCAGATATGGCAATGGTACATTTAGAAACGTGGAGGACGAGCAAATTAAGAGGCTCCTTCCACAAACACAGCTGTGCAGAGGATTACGGGGTTGAGCTGACAGCCAGTAAATTGGATTTTAGTCAGAGCAGAGGAGGGGGCATCTGAGCGCAAATTGGAGGGGTAATAGTGCTGACAACATCGTGGCAAAAGACAGATGCGTTTTTTTTAAAAAGGTACATCTAACTCCTAAATCTGACAAACAGCTTATCATTCAGTATTACATGAAGATGTTGAAAATATCAGATGCGTCCTCATCTCTTGAGTGGAATGGGGGCGGGGGGTTGGGAATGGGGGGGGGGGGGGTTGACATAAACACGCCATGAAAGCGAGAAACATTAATTTTCTTTCAGAAGCTCTTGTCAATACAAGGCGAACATCTTTTATCTGTCTTTTTCTCCCGCTGCCTCATGTTTGATCTTTTTTCCTTTTTCTAAGCGGAGCCATCTTCATTTTCGGCTTTTTTTTTTTCTCTCTCTCTCTTTTTGGAAGATGAATAAAAGCGCGGCTGTTGATGGAAAGCCAGAAAGATCTCTTTTACTTGACGCCAATCACCAGAGACGGTGCATTAGATTAATATGACGCACAAATTGCTTGAAAGCACTTCAGAATGTTCTGAAGCCAACATTAATAAGGGGAATGTTTGTCTGGGTATTTTGGGGAGGGGGGCACATGCTCTGCTATTGACTTACATTGCCCCCTGTTGTTGGGAAAAATAACTGTTCAATATTCGAAGAGCGTTAAAAGTCTTTGTTTCTTTTTTTAATTCATGTGTTCTAAACACTGTTGTAGTTTTAATGGATTGTTTGGGAAAATAATTCTTATGGACAATCTAGAAAAGGCTAAATGATTGATGTGTTATATAGAAATATAGAATCTCACCCTTCGTTTCTTCATGCTTCACCTGAAATGTCTTTTTAGTTGTAAATGGACTCTTTGCAGAAATAGGACTATGTACTGTACATAAAAAAACATTATTTTGTGCAAAATGTACAAGACAAAAATATCTAAATGGAAGCGCACTCAGGCCTTAAACATATTCAACACGTGTGTGAGTGTAAATGCTTTTAGATAGAGAAGATATGCTTTTAGAATTCATGAAATGCACAAAACAAATACGTTGCATTCTCAGCATTGCCATAGGAGGCGCTGCAGTGGACATTAGTGCAACTACGTACCATATTTACGTACTACGTACCATATTTGTGAATTATGGTACACCTAAAATAAGTGTTTATATTCAGACTATTTTAGAACGGTCAGTTCGCCACCGCTAAGAGCCCAGTACCTGTGTGACTCGTCTTAGGCCCTGTTAAAAAACGTAAAAATATTTTATCGGATGTGCCTTTCGTTTACACGTTTTTTTGAGGCCTAAAAACGCAAAAAAGTGAAACCATCCTCCAGAGTGGAAATCTTAAAAACACTCCACCGCCGCGTTCCCGTGTAAACGGTAAAAACGCAAAAGTCTGCTTGACAGTGAAGGTTGTACGCAGGCGTGTGGACTTGATGTTGTTGTAGTATGCACTCCTAGCCGCCTGAAGTGCATACTACATTGAATTTTACACACTTTTGCGTCACCATTTGCACGCCGGTTTCCCACACAAAACGCTCGTCTAAACGCAGAATAAAAAGTGATGACGCAACGCCACTTTTGCGTTTTCTCTTCAGAATCGTTTCCGTGTAAACATAGCCTCCGGCTACAATGTTCTTCCGCAAGACACATGCAGTTCTATTTATTAAATGCTAGACTGCCAAAAGTTATGGACTGCAGCTTTAAAAAAGTAAGTGTTCATGCTGCCTTAACATTTTAAGTTCAGTCAACTCAAATATCCAAGTTGTCACTTAGTTCAACTTTTTTAAGTTGAAACAACTTTTTTAAAGTGTGTTCTCAACAATGATAATAGTAAGATTCTTTAGCACCAAATCCACATATTAAAATGATTTCTGAAGAGTCATGTGACACTGAAGTAATGATGCTGAACATTCACTGGAATAAATTAAGATTTAAAATAGAAAACATAGTTGTAACTTGTAGTAAATTGTAGTAATATTTCAAATATTAGTTTTTACTGTATTTTTATTTTTAAAAATTCAGCTTTGGTGAGCATATAGGACTTTAATTTAGAAACGTAAAAAATTCGTAATGATTCCAAACGTTTGAAAGGTAGTGTTATTTTTGTAGTAATTATATATTTTTTTTCAACAACAGGCTCTGGTACAACCAAAACTAATTGGCACCATCTCTGAGTTTAATCCTGAAGATGTGCCTCAGCAAACAGCAGAAAAAGGAGCGAAGCCGTTTTCAGGCAATCTTACAGGGCCAGGGACCTTAATAACCAGGGTCCTCGCATTCAGCTCACTCCATTTCTCGTCTCTCTATAAATATCTCTCCAGTCATCCCGCCATTCTCCCTGCGCTGCAGCAGGGCCAGACCGACTGTAAGGGGTCATGTGTGATGCAGGCAGAGGTGGGCAGAGACACAGAGCAGCTCTGGGTAGATAATTGCCAAGTGATAAAGAGGTGATTGCCTGGTGGCTCTGAGGGAGACTAATGCCACCGGCAAGCCATAAAAAAACCCACATGCCTGACACTAAACGAACGCCACGGCCCGGACAACCTCTTCCCGATGCCACTTCTGTTTTTTTCCCCATTTTGAAGGAAGAAAAGGTTACGACCTCAGTGATGAAGACTTCGCTGAAGGCAATTTGGTGCCTTTTGCTTGCGCTTGAATGCTTCCTTTCTATTCAGGATGCTGGGTAATGTTTTGATTCTGAAATGTTCAGGGATAGTTCACCCAGTTGAATTGTTATAATTATTATTTCACCTTCATGTCGTTCCAAACTTTTTTTTTAGCATGTGGAGACCATGGCTGTCAAGACTTAAAACTACACAAAAAAAACGCCATCAAATTCCTTAGAAGTTTTCAAAACTTGTACAACATCTTTGTTAGTAAATTTAATAAATGAAATTCAGTGTATACATAAAAAAAATCTTGGTCACCATTCACTTTCCTTGTATGGAATATGTTCATTGTATACTCAAAATCACAATAAAATGACAGTAAAAGTTGGTCATGCTACTCTTGCACTATATTCCAAGTCTTCAAAAGTCGTATAACACTTTTATATTAGTAAATTTTGAACATGTAACAATGAAACACTGAAAAAAAAAAACATATAGAATCACCATAAAAATAGATCATACATTCTTGCACTAAACATTCAAAATTTTGGTCACCATTAAATTTCATTGTATTAAATGGATCAGCTGCATTCTGCTAAACTTCTTTTATACTCTACGCATGAAATAAAGGGTTTAGAATGACAGGTGAGTGAATAATGACAAAATGTAAAATTTTGTCTGAACTACGCCTTTAAATGAGAATAACAGAGATAACACAAAAGATGTTTTTTTTAATAGTCTCATTCGGCCGCCGACAGCCGAAGGGCCTTGTTTTTCCTTTCTTTTTTCCCTTACTCTCCCCTCCACCTCCTCCAAGAACAAATTGATGTTGCTCACTTCTCCCCAACATAATTACATGCTTGGGCCTCCAATTTTCTGTTTTAATTCCTAAAGAGCAGAACTGAATGCCACATCGTTATCTGAGGCAATCTGGTGGCAGCCATGAAAGGCGACATTATCCGAGCCGTTCATGGAGGGAAATTACAATATGGAAGTCTTCAACGTATCGCACTATGCTCTGCCCAAAGCCTGTCCCTCTGGCTTTTAAAGGGCATTAGTAAACTGTCACCCGGCTAGAGCCAGCCAGCTTAACTCTGACTCCCCATTCAAGCAGGAAGGAAGGCCGTGAGATGGGCAAAAAGGCGTCTGATTACTGTGGCATTGCTATTACATGGTGGAGAGAGACCAGACTTATGCATTTTTAACTTCCAAAATTCTTGCAAACTCACCTACGTAACAATTTAGCAACACACTTCAGGCGGCGAAATGCGTTCTTAAGAATAACATCTAAATATTACAAAATAAACTTTATATTTTTTGGAAGAATATATTTGAAAAAAATCCTTAAGCTACAGTGTAATTTGTTTGCCGTTTGGGGTCGCTAACCCTTTGCAATAACAAAGGCGTAGATTGATGACGCATAAGCGGAATTATGGAACTTGTCGTCAAGCTGATGGATCTAATAATGTTTATGGATGAGTGAATACATTGATGTTTTTAACATGACAAGCAGGGCGCAAATGCTAATGAGAGACAGATATCAGCGCCACACGCGAGTCTTGCGGATATGAAGGAATAAGGATATTTTATTCTACCGAACTACCCACAAGTGCCGAATTACTATTCACACAAGTCAGTTTATTTGAAGAATTAAACTTGTGAGGTAGCGCTGTTTCACTTGTGGTGCTTTTTCACGGCACGGTTCGGTACGGCATGCTTTGGCGCTTTTCCGCTGCATGGTACGGTACGGTAGGGCTCGCTTTAAATGGTACAACCTCTGTTAAAGGGTTAGTTCACCCAAAAATGAAAATTCTGTCAGTATTTACTCACCCTCATGTAGTTCCAAACCTCTATGTGTTTATTTGTTCTGCTGAACACAAAGGAAGATATTTGGAAGAATGTTTTAATAAAACAGATCTCATTCCCCATTGACTACCATAGGAAAAAATACATACTATGGTAGTCAATGGGGAATGAGATCTGTTTGATTAAAACATTCTTCCAAATATCTTCCTTTGTGTCCAGCTAAACACATATAAACACACAGAGGTTTGGAACAACATGAGGGTGAGTAAATACTAACAGAATTTTCATTTTTGGGTGAACTAACCCTTTAAGGTTCCAAGCGTACTGTACCGATACTAAAATGTGACGTGAACACAAAAATGTTCCCATTTGGTGTTGTTAAACAATGCCAAGCTTTTTAGTTTATTCAGAATATTTGTACTGAATTTTTACCTTTAACTTATATCATTACCAACCTGGAGGATAATAGAAGATCCTCAGTTTGTTGATGGAATTATGCAAATGAAAGGACGAGTTTATAGATAATAGTGCAGTTGAGGCTTATAGATTTGTTTTGTGGGTGGACGGCATCTTTCAGGCTCAGTGAAGAGGGCGATGAGAGAAAATGAATGCTTTTCTACTATCTAGGGATAAAACAACAGCAGAGAGCAAAGCACCATGTGCCGACATGAACAATATCATCCTCAGCATTCAAATGAAGAGTGGAAGCTTGATGATTATTGTATGAGGTTGCGTCTTACTTTGGGCCTCTTCAGACAGGGACTAAATGTTGTGATGTACAGGAAGTATTGTTCTTGCTAATAGACTTTAGTTGAAAATGCGTCTTTACACAAATTTCCAGTGGACATGACTTGTGAAACGCCATTCGAAACCCATTTTACTTCTGTAATGTGACATATTTCCAGGTGAAAAAGAATATGAGCTCAACTACGACACTGTAAAAAGAATATTTTCAAGATTTATCACAACATTTTTTCTTTTGTCAAATCAACTTAAATAATTTATTTAGTTCAGATAACTTATTATTTTGAGTTTCTGATGATTAAATCAATCTCCTTCATTGTATTAACTCACTTTTTCTAGTTCAATCAACTTAAAATTTTAAGGCAACCAGGTTACTTAATTTTTTTTTTAAGTTAAACAGTGTATATATCATTTTTTTTCATTGTTGCATATTATTGAATATCTATTGGCAGCCTCATTTTCATTCCAAACTAATTAAATACTGTGCTGACAAAATTCTATAGGTGCACTGTCACATTATTAGCAGAGACGAGACATACAAACACTTGTGTACGATGCCTGAAAACTAGAATGTATGCATGAGGTTTGGATCTAAGAATATCTGCTTCAATGTAACTGTGACATATTCAGCCTTGATAGCTGTCACGTCATAAAGGAAAATGCGGGGGGGAAGAAGTTTCGCTGTCAAGGCCATGAAGAAAGCATTACCTTAAAGTTTGAAAGGGAAAAAAATGAATACAATTCAATTTTTCCCTACCCCGAACTCCCAGGTCCCTTAAGGACTACAATAATATGTGCGTCGATCCCTCTATTAGAACAAGCCAGACCGACAGCTATTGAAATGTTTCAAGGGGGCTTCTGACAGCCCTCTGACTGGGAAGATGGACGCTTTCACTAAACATAGGTTGACACATTTTTCTCTTTTTCCGCTCTACTTTCTCCTCTACTCTGCGAAGCACTGCCTATCCATCATGCCCCCATGTAGCCTGTGTGCTTCTGGTAACTTTTCTCTCTCTCTCTTTTTCTCTTTCTGCTTTGTGTTTCCTCTATCCGGCAGCTGATGCAACAGCAGGCGGCCCTCATGGCTGCCAGTCACGGAGGCTACCTGGCGCCCAGCGTGGCCTTTCCCACCACCCAGATCCACCAGATGGGGGCGCTCAATATCAACAGTCTGCCGCCCACTCCCATGACCCCGGTGTCGGGTGAGTTTCATCAGACACTGGGTGAGCAAAAGCGCTTAATTTCCTCTCTTCTGGGATGGGGTCGTGCTTACAGCATTATGTTAACTGGACCGAACACAGTCAGTTCATACGATTACATAGACTTTAAAAGTAAAATTTTTGCTGGGCTAAAGCAATCATTTAACTGTAGAGCGACCAAAAAAAAATTTTCTGCACCTATATAATGCAATTGTAGCTCGGCTTCGACCAGCACGTGTACATGCCCCACGTTTTGTGCCAGCTCTAAAAAAAAACGTATAAAAGTAAAAACACGGAAAACCGGAAATTTGTTTCAATGGCGGGAAAGCATTGTCTCATAAATGATGGAAATTTCCATCAATGGCGGGGAAAAAGTTCATGTATCAAATATCCAACTGTGCATTTTGTCATGTATCCTTGGACGACTGTTAGACTACTTAAAGGGATAGTTCACGCAAAAATGAAAATTCTGTCAGTATTTACTCACCCTCATGTTGTTCCAACCTACACAAATTACAGATTAAGATATTTTTGATGAAATCTGAGAGCTGGATCACTCCTGCATACTAGTCCATAGGCTTCTTGAGGAATTGAAACTTGCCGTCCTCGAAAAGTTATTAAAGACATCGTTAAAATAGTCCAAGTGACCTCAGTGGCTCAATCTTAACTTTATCATGCGACGAGAACACTTTTTTGTGCGCAAAAAACAACAAAAAATAACGACTTTATTTCAACTATTCACTTCCTTCTCTGTGGGCCTCTAGTCAGTTAACGTAGTGTGATATCGTAGAGCTACGTCACACGTAGGCTCACTATTGGCCGACGCTGGTCATGTGTGTGTGATGCGTGTGACGTACAATTACAGAAGCTTACGCTATTAAACTAGTAACCTAACTCGAGGCAGAGAGAGAAGTAAAGGAATAGTTGAAATAAAGTCGTTATTTTGTTGTTTTTTGCGCACAAAAAAGTATTCTTGTCGCTTGATAAAGTTAAGATTGAGCCACTGAAGTCACTTGGGCTATTTTAACAATGTCTTTAATAACTTTTCGAGGCCGGCAAGTTTCAATCCCTCAAGAAGCCTATGGACTAGTATGCAGGAGTGATCCAGCTCTAAGATTTCATCAAAAATATCGTAATTTGTGTTCCGAAGATGAACGAAGGTCTTACGGGGTTGGAACTACATGAGGGTGAGTAAATACTGACAGAATTAACCCTTTAAATACATGCTGTAGTTTCAGTGTAACTACGCATTTAAACGTAGTCGTGTTTTGTTGGTTTTCAGTTTATTTAGAAGTCAGTACGTATAACTTTTGGATAGACAGAACTGCGCATGTAAACGTAAACTTGCGGTCTTTCACATGGTTTTCATTGTGTTAAGACAACACAATGTTCAGTTTTTCGTACTGATACTTTTTGGGGAAAATTTGCAGAAGTGTAAATACCCTGAGATTTTGTTCAATAAAAAACTCGATAATAACTGCATATGTAAACATACTTGTGAAGCATTGCTTTTGGATTAACCAAACTGTACACAACTTCACAAATGCCGTCAGTTTTCCATGCAACCTTTTACGTTAATCTTAGCTGAAGTGTGAATAGCCTTTAAGGTTTTATTCTGGTGCCATTTTTTTTTTTTATGAACAAAAATGTTAAACTACACAACCTTTCTAACCTGATTTTAAGCAAATCGCATCTCATGTCACACCTAACCTTTCAAAAACACCAATGCTGAGTTTCCCTAAATGGCACTCGCGTCAGAATTGCAGATTGTCCGTTTTAGCCGTCCTCGGAAAGCTTTGATAATCAGGACACACGACTGCTCTGATTGTCATTCCCAACACCCCGTTATCATATAATCTAAACAAACAATGAGATCTTATTGGATAATGGCCACCTTACGGCATTTGCTTATGCAGCAGTATTGCACTTTTCCAATCTCTTCGGAAAACATGCCACCCAGTGAATTATGCTCAGCTTTAACAAAGCTCATTCCTCTTTTGTCAACAGCACTGCTGTACCAATTTACACTGTACACCACGACGACAGACAATATCATTTGTCATTCCCGGTAAAGCGCGTAGTTTGGCAACATATGAGTAGCTTGCAGCTAACTGGCCAGATGATTTCAAAGCATATTATTAGTTTCTTGGCTAATTGACTGACCGTTGAATGGCCAACCGTTTGCTCTCTCAAGCAAAGTTAAAACACAAGCTTTATTACCTGAGGGGCTGAAACAGCAAGACGCTCCCAATGGTATCACATATAGATTTTACATGGTTCCATCTTTTACAAGCCGCCGTGCAGTCCCATAAAAGCCTCGTCCAATTAAAGCTCCAGAGCTGTCAAGCCACACTCCTCTTCTACGAGGCTGAGGTTATCCATGTGTGGCATTACATGCAGATGTACTCACTTGCTACTTCAAATATTAAGTCAGTCAGACAGGACGGTTTGTCAAATGTTTTGTCAAAACACGCAATGCAAAACACATTTTCCATCACGGATCATCCATCTCGCACTGCATGTTTGTTTTATCATCACCCATTGTATTAGCAATCTTCAGTACCTGGCTAGGGACTCACTTTTGTTGCCAGCTATTTTGACAATAATAGCTGTATGTTGAGATATTTTCAGAGGACAGTAAATATATGCTGCTATATAAGCAGCACATTGACTACTCTAACATATAACCAAGTTTCATTTCTATAGTATATTCCATTGGGAAGATACTAAAATGTTTGCTGAAATGTGAGGGGTGTACTCACTTTTGTGAGATACTGTATTACTATGGCAAAATGCCCATGGTAAATGTCACAAAACATGGTGTTATCATGGACAATGCTTATGAAACCATGATATTACTATGGTAAATGTCAAAAATATATGGTTTGACCATGGCAAATGTTAATGAAAACACAATATTTCAATGGTAAATGTCTCAAAGACATGGTCTGACCATGGCAAATGTCCATGAAACCATATTAATAGCATTGTGAATGTAAAAAATGCCATATTACCATGGCAAATGTCAATGATACCACAATATTTCAATTGTAAATGCCTCAAAGACATGGTGTGACCATGGCAAATGTCCATGAAACCATGTTAATACCATGGTAAATGCCACAAAACAAGATATAACCATGGCAAATGTTAATGATACCACAATATTTCAATGGTAAATGTCTCAAAGACATGGTGTGACCATGGCAAATGTCCATGAAACCATGTTAATAGCATTGTAAATGTAAAAAATTGCCATATTACCATGACAAATGTTAATGATACCACAATATTTCAATGGTAAATGTATCAAAGACATGATGTGACCATGGCAAATGTCCATGAAACCATGTTAATACCATGGTAAATGCCACAAAACATGATATAACCATGGCAAATGTTAGTGATACCACAATATGTCAATGGTAAATGTCTCAAAGACATGGTGTGACCATGGCAAATGTCCATGAAACCATGTTAATAGCATTGTAAATGTAAAAAATTGCCATATTACCATGGCGAATGTTAATGATACCACAATATTTCAATGGTAAATGTCTCAAAGACATGATGTGACCATGGCAAATGTCCATGAAACCATGTTAATACCATGGTAAATGCCACAAAACATGATATAACCATGGCAAATGTTAATGATACCACAATATTTCAATGGTAAATGTCTCAAAGACATGGTGTGACCATGGCAAATGTCCATGAAACCATGTTAATAGCATTGTAAATGTAAAAAAATGCCATATCACCATGGTGAATGTTAATGATACCACAATATTTCAATGGTAAATGTCTCAAATACATGGTGTGACCATGGCAAATGTCCATGAAACTATGTTAATAGCATTGTAAATGTAAAAAATTGCCATATTACCATGGCGAATGTTAATGATACCACAATATTTCAATGGTAAATGTCTCAAAGACATGGTGTGACCATGGCAAATGTCCATGAAACCATGTTAATAGCATTGTAAATGTAAAAAAATGCCATATTACCATGGCGAATGTTAATGATACCACAATATTTCAATGGTAAATGCCTCAAAGACATGGTGTGACCAAGGCAAATGTCCATAAAACCTTAGTAATGCCATGTACGTCTCACACAAACACAGTATTACCATGAACAATTCCAATGAATCATGGTAATCACCTGGTTCATTGTTTTTAGACATGGTACCACGGTAGCCTAGCCTGGATGCCAGCCCGAACCTCGTCCACAATTTTTTTTATTCCTTCATTCCTTGCAAAAATGATCCATCTCCGAGTAAAACAACCACACTTTTATGTTTGGATTGTATCCTCTTTGACTGGGATCAATGTCATATTAACATGCGATACAGCTGCTGGGGTGAATTGGCCTCTCTTACACTGACTTAATTGAAAGAGACTGTCGGATCTCCTGTGGGCGCGAGATGTCCTGAAATATGCGCAGCGTTGGACACGCTCCTGTATGTGTGTGTGAGCTCTGCTCTTCTGATTGCCTTTCATTATTGAACCTATTGGAATCTGTTGCATTATTAATCCTGGGCGAGAAAAAGCACGGCTGGCGTTAAAAATATTCCAAGGACTACAATAAATAAGATATTCATACTTTTTTTTTTCTCACTCATTCATTCATTCATTCATTTGCATCTCCCTGACAGGCACAGCACCTCTGGTTTATTCAATACATCTGCCTCTGCGCACACACTCGCTCTGATTGGTTGTGACTTGTGTATAAAGCATTGTGGAAGCACAGACCATACTGGAATCTGGTTCGATATTAAGAGCTAATGTTGCCGGAGAAATATTGCGTGCCGGCTTGAATAAACAGAATAAATGTTTTTGAATCAGGCTTTTAAATTGACTGAACAACTGATCTATTGTGATGCAACAAAAGCCTTCTTCCATCTTTCCATCATGAAGTGTTTTTTAGGGACTTGTGCTGCAATCTGAAGACATCTGGCGAGAGTGCAATTGAACGGCAGAACAGCTGTCACATCATCTGAGGCCGCTTTCAGATT